CATGTTTATTCTGGTTTATTATATACCTGTGTTTATTGAGGAGCTCGGAAATTGAAGGAAAAAAATGCTCGTTAAATCCAGGTGCTTGGTAAATTCAAATTCTAAATTAATGTGCAAATTTTTAAAATATATAAGAAGAACTTGCTTGAATCACTTCCAAAAAATTTTTATTAAGAATTGTTTAGCTTTACGAAATTGTTGTTTCATTAATTTTGTAATCACACTCACAATATTCACTTGTTGTTTTTGTTTTTTAATTTTTTTTATTACTCTATTTTATGTTTTCGAAATAATTTTCTTCATTAAACCCAAGCCAATATAAAAATTTACTCTTAAACGCATTTACAACTTATTCCAAACCATAGATTTCCCTTGCTAAAGGCACTCACGTTCAATGTGAGCTCGTTTTAAATTAAGTCTTTCTGTATAAACTTACCTCGTTTTTCATTGCATATTATAATATGCTTAGACTTAGATATTGGACAGCTCCAAAGAGCTGGGCATGTCGACCACAGGTCCATTGTACCTATACGCTAAATCATGATTAACGAAAAAGCTTTATAGCTGAAACAAAGATCAGGAAATATCTTGTAAATTCTAAGCCTTAATGCAGTGTTGCCCTAAGTGCTAAAATCTTTGAGCAGAATAGACCTCACAATCACAAAGTATATGTTTTGAAGTCTTCTCCTCAAAATGACAACCTCGACAAAAAAATAATCACTTCAATTCCCATAGTGTATAAGTGTCTCCTGAGGGTGCAGTATCCAGTGAGAAGACCATTAATCTTCCTCAAACTGTTCCTGTTTAGCTTAAGAAGCTCTTTTGGACGCACACTAGGACTGTCAAAATTTGACCATCCAAGTTGCACCATTGCTTATAGGCAATTTTGCCATAGAGCTTGAAAATAGATGCAATAGGATTTGAGAGAAATTCCCAAAGCTGATTCAGGGCCCCAGAAAATCACACTGGACCCAGCCTGTACTGCTTTGTCAGCCAGCTCATTACTCGGAATACCCACCCCCTAATGATTTTGCCCGAAATCTGGAATATTGATGGTCTCATACTGTAACTGCTTAGATAGAACATTCCTGGTGTGTAAAAATTTCCTTTTTCCTCTATGAAGTAAACAATAATTTCATGCTTGTTGACTAAAATAAGTAAAAATTGGGTACCAAAGGGTTAATTATTTGTATATCACTGACACTATGAATCTGCCAATTGTCAAAGTGGTAGATTTGTGTTTTTGGCCTGATGCCAACTGTATGATGCTTTTGCACTTAATGATCTCATTGTTGAATTAAGAGAGTCTAGTACAATGTATAGATAGAACATTTGTGAATAGATGTCTTCATCGAATCACTTTGTGCATATAAACTATTCATCTCACCAATTTTAATTTTAGCAATGTCTGCGCTGGACTTTGTCATTGTACTAGTTAGGAATTTGATCAGTCTAAACTTGATATATTTGTATAGTTGTTAATATTGCATAAACTTTCATCAGTTTGTATAAGTTACACGAGCCCCCTGAATACATTTGCTATAGTATTGTTGCCTAATGTGAATATATCATAGCTTTGATTGATTTGTGACAAAGCGAAACACATGTTGTTTAGAAAAATAATGCAAAAATGTAGTTGTTATAATGCATCACACTAAGGTGCTTCATTAAAAGTTCATTTTTTTAAAAAAAGTTTTTGGATTTTTTGTGCGGTTAGTATCAACATTGATTATTGAGCTTCTTTTTATGTGGATGTCCACATCATGTCTAGGGTGCACGTTAGTGGTCACTATTTACGCTATTAAAATCTCGCTACTTTTTTTTATATTATAACCGTCATTGAACAGACAACCGAATTTTTTGGATTTGCGACTATTAATGTTCAACTCTGTAACCTTGTAATTTTGATCACAATTCAGAAAACAAGGGAACTCCTGGATTAAGCATTGGAAGAAATTTGCTTTTGTGGAGGACTTTTGATGGAACTAACCCGCATTTGCGTTACACGGAGAGAAAACCACGAAAATCTTCCATGGTTATCCTGACGGCAAGGGGACTATAACCCATGATCACTGAATAAATTTTACGTCAGGACTATGGTCGGTGCAAACCGGATGCGGAATTCGTGTCGAGCATTCATTGCTGGGATCCGAACTCGATTTACCTCATTAGAAGGTGAACGCATCACGGCTCAAAATCTTACTACTAAACTAAAATTAAGATTTTTTTTTTTAATCGAACTTTTTTTTTAAAATTTATCATTTTAAAGTTCCGATAAAATCTAATTATAACGCTTAGTATTTTTAAAAAACAATATCATAACTGCATTAATATTTTCAAGTAATATTATTAAAATTTTAATATAATCAGAGCCTGATGAAGGCAGGGGTATACGGTGCAGTTGCCCCGGCTTCCACATCAGAGGGGAATCAATGCCACAAATCGAATAGAAAGTTTATTTTAAATTTCCTTCTTTAATGAACTTTTTTTTAAACAAAATATCAATACAGTGTAAAATCCGTCAGTTTTATGTTAACTTCTTCATTATTCTATCATATGAACACAATTTATAATTCGTAAATCCATGGCTTTCTAGGGCGGAATTCAGCAAATATTTTGCAATTACGATAGACAAATTTGGCCAATCAAAGCCTGTATTTTTACCTATCGCAAAATGCGATATGTTTACAAAAAAAAAGGTTTCTGATTGGCTTAATTGAGCCATCATAATTGTGTAAATGTAGCTGAATTCTGCCCTAATGTCAACAAGGATATTAATATCTCGCAGCTAGATGACAAGGTTAACAATCAGAAAACTGCATTCGGCATGATGGGCATAGAATTGTCAGAATATCAATAAAATGGACAGAATGATATTTCGTCTGACCAATGGAGGGACTTGATAACTATTTTCAGATTCTAGTGAGCTTTCCTGTTATCTATAATGACGTGAAAAATTTAAATACCTCCATTAAGTTCGGTTCTTCATTACTGAAGTAGAAAAGCAGAGGGGGCCCCAATTAGGCTAAGTCGGGTCCCGTATATAATTATCACGAACTTATCACTGAATAAATAAAATCATTGTTGCTTTTATTCGAGTTCATTTCCCTCACGAATTCCGAAAGGCAAATTTGTCAATTGCATAAAATGAAGAATAAATCAGGAAACATAGAAGAAAAATCAATAATCCTAAATTACTTTTGTCAGAACATAGTTTTGTTTTATATCCATTATTTATTTTATTTAAAATTCTATTATTTGTATGCTGTAGTTTTATAACTTACATCTATGTTTTCAAAAGTTATGAGTAAAAATAACTTATTATATTTTGTATCAAACATCATGATATCTAGTTAACAGAAATTGAATTAAAGAGAGTTTTTACACTAAATCATAGATCAGTAATATTATTAAATTATTCTTGGTAAAATTATTTATAATGTTTTTTTTTCCGGTTTCTTCGGCTTTAGTTTCAAATCTACAATTTGGAACTAAAGCAGAGGGAATTTCTGCAACATTGGTCTAAATACTTTAACTCATATATAGAGGACTATTTTTCTGTTACATATAAGACTATTTTTCTGTTACATAGGAAAGAGTTGGCTAAAATATGGCGAAGAAATAGTCACTAGGGCTCATCGCCGATCTTGCAAATGATGGTTATTGTTATCGCCATCAGTTCGAGTGAAATTAGAATTTTAAAATCTCTTTGGTTTTATTTTTTCAAAATTTCTTTTGATTTTGCAACTGACAATGATACAAACAAAGTGTTCCCTAATATATCGTTTTACCAAAAGTAGCGTAAAAGAAAGTTTACATGTTGGAGGAAACACATTAATATTTAAGCCAGGAGAAAACAGAAATTCTAATGATATCTAATAGAATTGGGCAAAACGAATAATCTAAGTTATTCGAATCAGTTGCAAGTTTGTGATTTGAATCAGTTTAGTGATTCGAATCAGTATCCAACTCTATTATCTGATGAAACACTCATGAAGAAGGTGGTGCTGAAAACATAAATACTTATCAGAAAAGGAGCTATAAGGAAATTTGGTTTCAGGTATTCAAACTGCCTCAAATGCAACATTTAAACTCCGAATTCGTATACTTTTTTTAAATTTTTGACAAGGGATATAATAGTATAGATAAAAAGGTGGTTATTGCTCGATAATTTGTAAATAAACAATATAACATTTTACATATGTAGATTAAAATAGCCGGCATATTATATGACATATAAATAACTGTTTGTGAAGTGATGACTAGTCACAAGAAAGAAATTGAAAAATAGAAGTTTTGAAAGAGAAATCAAAACATATGCTGTTCCTTTTTTATTAATATTTTAAACTATTCAAAACTGTATTTTACATCTTTTTTTCTCCTAGAAATAAAATTATAACGAAAGGGGCATTTTCAAAAATTTTTTTAGTTTATACAGTCTTTATTTCACCTAGAAAAAAAATTTGAATTTAAAAGAGTTTTTTTCAATGCCTTTTCAATTTTTCATGGGTCCTCAAGTGAAAAAAAATCATAATGTATATAATTTTACAATACAGTGAAACCTCCAAAAAAGACCACCTCTATTTACGACCACTTTTGGGAGACATGGAATTTTTTCCATTGACTTTTCGTTGAAGAAAACCTTTAGTAGAGACCATCAAAACCTCTGCGCCAAATGCAGAAAAGGCCAAATAAGGAGACACGAAAAAAAAATATCAAACAAATAAGTAGATTAAAATGTATTCAAAATATTTGTATTTGGTATATTATATTCAAAATATATAATATATTAGCTCCTTTTACTTTGCTTTAGAGCTCGTTTTTGACTATCTCTGACTGCAATCTCATGTTGCAGTCAGAGTGCACTGGTTTATTTTTAGAGTTGAAAATTAAATTAGGGGAAAAAATATTTTAGAAGAAGCACTAAGCATCTCAAACAAACAAAACTCTTCTCATCTTTTAAAGATAACTAATTTTTATGATATACTGTACTTTTTCAAAACATTAAAAATAATACTTTAATAACGTGTTCCAGAGAAGAAAGAATCAAGTTAAAACTGCTGTTGGTAAATAACGTTCTTTTATGGAAATTGTTGGTTGCAAATATTCGTCTCGAACATTAAAAATAATACTTTAATAACGTGTTCTAAAGAAAGAATCAAGTCCAAACTGCTGTTGGTAAATAACGTTCTTTTGTGGAAATTGTTGGTTGCAAATATTCGTCTCTCAGAAAGTACAATGGAAACTTCACCAAATATCCTCGAATAGACTTCAGTTCAGCCATAGCCTTTGCCGGATCAGTTGCTGCTAAAGGTCGTCTGCTTTGGTACTCTCTCAACTGCCTAAACGTTCTCACGCTATCTGTGGGTATGCATAGAAACACCTTAAAAAGAATTTAAACCGGTCAAAGAACAGTACTGTTCACTGAAAAATCTATGGGCTTCAGGGGTGTGTGAAAATCAAATTAATATTTTACAAATTGTTTTTTCATTATCTTGCATATTTAGTTTATTCAAATAGTTGACTGAATGTAAACAATGCTGGTTACTCTTAAAATTAAAATTTCAAACATAATTTCAAATACAATTATAATTTCAACAGTCAGCATATTAGTAACAAATTTTGTTTTTTAAAAATAATGAGTGTTAACCAAGAGAATAAATGTAAATTTAAGATACCTTTTTGTTGTATGCCTAAGAGATTAACATACTTTGCCTTGTAATCTAATGAGTATATTTGTTTAAATTTATCTCCATTAATTTTTTTTACTTTCTGCACAAGGGATTAATTATACACTTGTAATTCATTCTTATTACTTTCTAAAAAAATCTAAATATTCACAGCATTCTTATAATCAGGTTTCGCCATTGTTGACTGTTCGCCATTGGTGACTTTTAGTGGTGACTATATTTTTAGCTCTTTAATTACGATCTGGCATTTTTTCTTTATCTGTTAATATCCATCATAAAAAAAATAGGCTTGAGCAATGAGTACGACCCATATTTTTTTTTCGTTCTCCCTCGTATTTTCAACAATCATAGAGGAATAAAATTCTATTTTTCCTATCGTCGTGCTTTCGAGTATTCCTCAAATTTCTTCCCGTATTTTCAACAATCATCGGAGAGAAAAATTATATTTTTCCTATCTTCATATTCCTCAAATTTTTTCTCGTATTTTCAACAAATCATCTAAGAAAATTCTATTTTTTCCTGTATTCGTGCTTTCGCGTATTCCTCAAATTTCTGATTCCGCTTAGTAATTACTAAATTACCTTAATTACTAAATTCCATTTAGTAATTAAGGAAAGAAAACAGGAATTAAAAAAAAACATGTTAAAGTATTCATGGCAGTAACAGTGGAATTGCGATCGAAAACAATAACTTGGATTACGATGAAATCGTAAGCGCAGCTCGAGATTCATCAGAGTTTCGTTTTAAAAATATGAGAATTTTTTAAATGATTTAGAAATCCATGGGTATAATTGCCGAAAAAGTTACAAAATGAATAAAACACGTGAATTTACGTCGAAATCGGAGCAAATCGAACACGTGCGTCAAAAAAATTATAATTTAAAGGCGCAATTCAAAATTCACTTGCGTAATAATATTCTATTAAATGAATCTGGAATACAAAAAACCATGTAGAAATCTGCATTGCAGAAAACCACTTGGATCTACAATGAAATCGCTGCGAAATTGAATGAGCGTGATCGCAGATCGATAGGTGATTACTCATACGCGTGATTAGAGATTCACGAGTCGTAATGGTTTCGTCTTGAAAATATCTGTATTAAAAAAAAAAAAATATGTAGAAATTTATGGGTATAATAGCCGAAAAATTGATTCGAAAAACGATGTGAATTCATGATTCTAAAGTTCTCAACGATGTGAATTCATGATTCTAATGTTCTCTTGTCTTCTGGGTTTCGTTTAAACTCAAAAGTTTGAAGGATTTCTAAGATTTGTTTCTAATCTCCATGTTTTTTGTTCTTTTCTCAAAGGGAGTTAGTCAAGATTTTTTATTAATTACCTTCTCATAGATGGAAGTATTTTGTTCAGCAATTTTAGACCAAACATTTCTGAAAAACTCCTCATTGCTGGGATTATTCAAATCAAAGGAGATGGATGTATCTTGCAACATTCCCAAATGCTCCCTAAAAATACTTAATTATATAACAGTATGCAACACAGGCATACATAATAAGGCAGAATAAAATAAGCAGAAAAAAATTTCGTAAAAAAATAAATAAAATCATTGAAATATGTAATAAATTTTTACTCAGTTTGTGAAAATTGCAGCACCATGAAGGAATCAATGCAAATTGAACCAAACTTGAAACAAAGTGAAGTGCTAAGATATGCAAATGATTAGAATTAAAAAGCGATTGCGTATGTATCAGAAATGTGTGGAATAAATTTAATTACTTTTTGACCATTCGTTTCGTGGTATTGCAATTTCACAAACTATCTATGGATGGTTGTCTGAATGTAAACAATAACAAGCTCCCTAAAACCGGAAGACATTTAGAAAACTTCCTGTGTATCCCACCGCTCATGTTATGCTTACGAGGCGATGTGTGAACAGGCTTAATATTCTAAGAAGTTTTATTATAGTAATTTGTATTTTAATTTAACCGTAATTTTACTCTTCATAAGAGTTTTCTGTCATTTATAAATTCTGACAGATCGTGAACTGACAACAAATTTAAGAAAATAAATATCAACATAAATAAAGTGTAAGGTTTAGCGTGTTATCTCTTGTTGTTGTTGTTGTTGGCATATGCCTGTTTAGGCAGAGGGGGTGCGATTGATCTTGTTTTCCAGTAGCGCCATCTATGGCCAAGAATTCGACTTTTGCCACACCATACATCACCCCCGTTTATAGGGCGGACCCATTCATGCATCCATTCATTCATCCACCGATCGTAATTTTGACCTGAATCAGAGAACGATCGATCTCCAATCTAGTACTCCCAGAGGTATTGATTTGTTATTGTTATGGGAACATGAAGGACTTTGTGACTAGACAGATTTAACGTGCACCAGTCATCATTTACTACACGTAGAGTTTTCTGCCAGCGGGGTTCGAACTCTCGTACATAGGCACAGCTCCTTACCGACCAGGCTATCCCGGCACTGTTATCTCTTATTTGGCTATATTTATTCATATTATCTCCATTCATTATCTTTTGGATCGTATCAAAGAGTGCTTTTAGAATCTTTCTCATTTATGTGTTGTTTGCTTGGTTAAAATTTAAATTGTAAGAACGCGTTATATTGTAAACATTACGAGTAAAATATTATTGGATGGAGAGCTTTTTCAAACTTAGGCGTTGTATCCGCACGGATTTGTAGCGCCACCTAGTGTAACTTGTAACACTGAGAAAAAGAGTGTGTGTGGAAGGAGAGCTGTAACGAGCTACAAAAAAGCTCTCTTCCAAATAATAATAAATAAATATTGTGAATTTACAGTCCGCTTATTTTCTGTTTATTGAGCGAGTTCATATTTACCTGAGCGTCGACAAGAGTGGTCCGCTCACCAGGAGAAAAAATCAGCAAAATTAAAACAATTAACGAAAAGAGTTTCGTTTTGAGTTCTAAGAGATAACCATTGTGGACAGTGTTACGAGAAAACTGTGGATTCGTGCCTTCCCATTCAAAGTAGGATTGTTTTGATTTTTTATAAAATACTTTAATTTACAATGTTTAAGAATTGTAAAAAAGATGATTTAAGGCTTATTGCCAGTGAACTAGATCTAGAGATTAGTGATGATATGACTGTGGTAAACTTAATTGATATAATTAAAAGTTGTGAAAAATATAAAACTGACTCTGAAACTGTTAGTGATCTAGTAAGTTTAATAGNGCCCTGGGCTGGTTTTTCAGCAGGACAATGCCAGACCACATACGGCACGTGTTGCTATGAACTGTTTGCAAGCTTATCAAACTCTTCCTTGGCCTGCCAGATCACCAGATCTCTCTCAAATCGAGCATGTCTGGGATATGATGGGAAGGCGATTGCATTTGGCTCGGAATGTTGATGACCTCGTTCGACAATTGGATCGAATTTGGCAGGAAATACCGCAAGAGACCATCTGGGAGCCTTATCGGTCTATGCCACGCCGTGTGGCAGCTTGTATCCAGGCTAGAGGCGGGTCAACACCTTATTAAACTTGNTTGGATCGAATTTGGCAGGAAATACCGCAAGAGACCATCTGGGAGATTTATCGGCCTATGCCATGTCGTGTGGCAGCTTGTATCCAGGCTAGAGGCGGGTCAACACCTTATTGAACTTGTTACTGTAACTCTGCAATAAATTATTCAATTGTTCTGAAATTTTAATCATTTACTATTCTGTACATTGTCTTCCTATCCACCAATTATTGTTTCAATCGGACAACTCCTTGGTGAGTCGATTTTTTTGTTATAGAGTGTATATATTTCTTCTGTGTTAGCTTTAAAAAGTATCAAATGCTCTATATTTTACTAGGAAATAGCTAAAAAAATAATTGGCTAGTTCAATTATTGCCCTTAATTGTAATTTTAACGTTGAAAACAAAAATTCCTTTTAAATTCTATTTATTAAAGGGAAGCATGAAGGGGAGATTGACAATATGAGACATATACAATTTTACCAAAATATCATAACGGTATAACTGAATGAACATATTTACATATACAGATGCGTTTTCACGCTGTTTTCACATGGCAGTTTTTTCATGGAAAACAAAACAATTTCCTTAAAGTAACTAAATTCAATAAAAATATATCTCTACTATAAATAGTAAAAACATTTTAAATTACCACTATAGATATTCATTTTTAGGCTCTAATTTATATTTCAAATATACCAAAACTTTCAATACGACTTCTACCACACATAAGTTACTGCCTGTTTATGGAGAGGATCCATTCTTACATCCATTCATTCATTGATCTACAGATCGTAATTTTGACCTGAACCAGAGAACGATCCATCTCCAATTCAGTACCTCCCCAGAGGTATAATTTGTTATGAGAACATAGAGGACTTTGCGACCCGATACATTTAACGATCATCAGACACTATTTACTACACGGGGAGTGTTTTAATATTTCTGCAGTTTAATGCAAAAAATATTATGAAAAGGGAAAATATATCGTACTGCTGAGCAGAGGAGGAAAGTGAAGGGGAAGCTTCAAGACATGAAACCAATCTCCTCCCTAGAGGGCGTATTCGATCAATACCTCCTAGAAAAGAGAAGGTCTTAGCACCGGTTACCATTAAACAAGAAATTTGATCCTTGAGTAGTCCAAACGTTCTTCTTTTTCATCGACTGCGCAGTTTATGTTCGTCACGTCGGACTACTAAATTGATCCGTGCAGAGGCCTTCGTTCTTCTAGGAGGTGTTGATTCGATTCGCGAATTGTGACTCTGTATTATAGTTTTGTCCCCCCTCGAAAACTGAACTCCTGCCTCGTCCATGATTCCAAATAAATACAAAATTGTTTCAAAATGGTATTGCCTAAATGAAAGAATTAGTGTTGTTGTTGTCGTGTCTATGCTAGTGCGAAGTTTAATTAGAGTCCTCCAAAAGTCTTGATAACAAGGTTAATACAAGTTGTATATAGTTACAATATACTATATAATACAAGTTGTTAATACAAGGAAAGAATATAATTAATACAAGTTGTATATTCACTATTTTTCTGGTGATACTTTTTTGTACATTTAGATACTTTTATGTACTTAGCACAAAATGTCAGATATACTGATACAGATATTCAGTTCTTTATCAATTAAGTTAAAAACAATATTTCCAATTCACCTGAAAAGAGCGGTTCGTAGCGAGTAGCAGAATTTTCCTGCCTGGTGAGGTCGACCTTCTTCTTCCTTCAGGAACTGCGTATCTCTCACAACTACAGCTATTTCTGAATCTCGGTTGCCCAGGAGGCTACGATCATTAATGTTAGCGGAACCAATGATGGCGACTTGGTCATCGGCGATTAACAGCTTGCTATGAACGTATATAAGCTCTGTCACCTTAAATACAAATCGTTCGATTTAAAATCAAGTTATACTTTTTGTAAATGGAATGCTCCCATTCCAAGGTGACACGTGTTCCTCACTCTTCGTTACCATGGTTTCGACAAATCTTGTTTTATCCTTCGCCTGCATAATCCTCACTTCTTAATGAAACATACTGCTTTTCGAAAGAGCAAGATTTAAAGATTAACGGAGAGGGGAAATGTGTGGAGAGCGGGGGAAATCGAAAGCTTGAGACGCCTATTCTAGTTACGGAGAGTATAATAAGTAAACACTCTAAATAATCTGAAAATTCTTTGACATGGACTTAAAGTTGACTTTACAACTCGGAAAGAGAATAAAATATTTATGCACCTTAAGGTTATACGAATAAGTAGGACAATAACAATATTCGTGAAATTGTAATTTATGATTTCCAAATCCACTGTGGATTGCTTTATTTTAATTTCATAAATATTTCTGAATTATTTTATTTCTTTACTCTGATTAACGTTTTAGTATCCAAATAACATTAAAAACAAATTATCTAAACATATTTTTTCACTTTAGTGATTTAAAGTGATGATTTAAAAATAAAACCAATGGATTAAAATCAGGATTTAAATGAAGGATCCCTGCATCGTACTTCAATAGAATTAGATGGTAAAATAAAATGTTTAAAAAAACAATCAAAAATGAAAATGATTTTGACATTTAACCACACCACAAGTTTCTGACGTGTAATACCTGATTTTATGACTCATTTTAAAACTTACCAATTTCGTTCGTAGGAAACCATGAGTGCGCAATCCATAAAAGTTGATATACAAACTCGGATCTTTCACTGCAAATGAAAAAAAAAATCCAATATAACTATTTTGTAATAAAAATAAGGATTATCAAATAAGCATCTTATACTTTATTGCAAGTTAAGAAAAGACCATTGCGTAATAGGATTTAAGTAATTACCCGCGACTGCTTATAGTTTCATTTTATTTTGTTATCAAATTATACAAATATGCTTTCAAAACAATTTAAACGTTAAACACGGCAGTGAGAAATTTAATTCGTGCTATCTTTTACAATTCACAGAATTATTTTAAAAAAAAGAAGAAAAAAAAGGTTGTAGTTTCCTGGAATACTAGACTTGGCGACATGTTCGATAAATAAAGAAAACAGAAGTTCTTGAAAAGAAACAACTTCTATATGACGTTTCAAGAACACTGAATTTGATTGAACCACTGAAAATGACACGTCTTATGTTGACATATTCTTAACAAATCAAATGCAAGATAAGGAATAATTACTTTTGATTCACTGTAGAAGAAAATAGTCTGCAAGGAATGTTATTTATTATTCTTTCATAAGTTTCTTTAAATGCGAATAGTTACTATTTTTAAATATCACTTTTATTATTTCTTATAACTTGTTGATTGATTATTCAATAAGTTTTGTTTTCCTTATTTCATTTTGCACGATTTTTTTTAAAAAAAAAACAAGAAAAAAATTGGCTGTGCAACGTCGTTTCAAGAGTTTTGGCGATGTTGATATACGTTCGTGCTGGGAGCTTGGCAAACAGGCTCTCTCCATAGAGATGATGGTTTTCTCTTAACTTGCAAAAAAGTATAGTAGATATAATTACTCACTGTGTCTAGCGAGCCTATGGATTAACGAAGAATGTCCACCTCCAATGGATGCATTGTTCCAGTGTGTGATTGCCTGTATGCAAGTGCCCGTTCCTGTACCCAAAGTCCCTTGAAAAGCTGGTAGCAGCGGGAGGACGATATACACATGAAAGGATTCCCGCTTTCTGTAAAATTTAAATAACTAAATTTCACCAAAAAAAGTGGTGTCAAAGAAATATACACATTAGAAGTCACAGAAAAAGTGAATTGAAAACGAAAATATTATCAAATAAGGACGGATCATCATCCCCCAACCATGAATTAATCACCTGGCCCCATTTTCTGGGCTCTATTAACGACGGATCATTAACGAGGAAGGCTAAATCAAAAATAACGAAATCTGTATAATTGGAACAAACTGAGCGGTGGTTAAAATTTTATTAATATCCTCCTAGGTTTGGATGTTTTTAATCCCACATTCTTTAATAATTAATTGACAGATAATCTTCTTATTTTTATCATGCTCAAATATCAATCTTAGACTTCTAATGCGTATACTTATTTTTATTAATTCTAAATACGTATGTATTAAGTACGAGAGAGAATACAAAAATAAGTTTCCCACAACTTATTTTCGGACTCCCCTTCGTATAAAAGGCAGTGATCACGAGCGCTATCATAACTTTTGTTAATTAGAATAAAAAAATTACGCTTAAAAACATTTACCTGTATGCTTTTATAATTCTGTTGAACAAAGCGTCTGCGATTCCATTATGTACAGATCTTTCACTTGCTGGTTGAGTAATAAAAAACTGATTCTGTAAATAAAAACAAATCTTTGATTGAATGAAATAATAGCACTTCTATCATTTTATGCTTTGACAAAACGTTCGTTAATTATTTTCGGAGTTTTCTTAACTCCTGGATTTTGACTTAGGGAAAAAATGACAACGACCAAAAAACGACGACATTTGTAAAGTTGAAAGAAAAAAAAAATCCCACCCAATCAAGAACTATTCGACCAAATTCTTTCAAATTTTATGTTTTGCCGTATAAAATTACATTCTTCAAAATGATAAAAAGTTTTATATTTTTTAATTGGGTATCTGCAAGTGATGTCACGTGTGGGTGTCGAACCTAATTGGCTGCTGAATCGTGGCACTTGCTTATGCCACAATTCAAGAGACAATCAAGTTGAATCATAGCGAAACGATTTATTTTATGTTTCCTAAACGGATCGTGGATTTATTTTATGTTTCCAAAAAGGATTGTGGATTTATTTTTTGTTTACGTCGTGCAGTGGACTGGTCGTCTGTTTACACGGTCCAAGTTCTTGAATTCGAGAAGTTGGAGGAATTTCTCAATCCAAGAAATTGGATAATTCTTCGACACTATTCAAGTTCTCGAATGTCAACGATTGTTTGGATGAAAAACCGGTGCATGCGCATTGTTCATATTCTACATTATAAAATCGTACTTACTTGAATTCGTAATTACTAAATAAATTCCAATAAAATCATAAAAACACAAATAGACCCTAACAGATTAATTAATTTGGATTAAAATATATGAAAACGGACAACAAATTGACATAATCTTATGCTTATGTTGACGTCACAAAATTTTAGAAGCTGATTGGTTCAGGGAGGAAAAACTTGGATGGAATGTAGAACATGATCTACCACCAGGCAAGGACAGGGACCAAGAATTTGGATGATCGTTTACATGATCCAAGCTCCAAGAAAAACAAGTTTCCATCAATTTCAATCAATCTTCGTCCAAGAACTTGGATCTTAGAAACATGCCTTAAGGACAGGGTTCCAAGTAGAACACCGAAGTCAAGTACCATAGGCTGCGGTCAGTAAGTGGATGGGTGACCACTTTGATCAGACTACGTAGGGACGACGGGTGTGCGGTATCGGTCCTCGTTCAACTGTTCTACCGTAAAATTCTCAACTTCGCGCGCAGGTCGTTGGGCTACCGAAGCGGAGGAGCCATCCCCTCTGCAGAGGATCAAAATTGCAGTGGCATGTCTTTGGATCATCCCCTTGGATTTTTCCCAGATTGTTGCCAATAGTGCGAGCCGCGATGGCACCATGGGCTATTGGCAATCCATAGTAAACATAATTCCCGAATAAACAGCTCGTCCCCGAAGGTTGGAGCTCTGCTGCATGTATTAGCTCTAGAATTGCCACAGTTATCCAAGTAGTAAGGTACGATCCAAGGAACCATAACTGATTTAATGAGCCATTCGCGGTCTCGCCTTAATACGGCATGTACTTAGACATGCATGAGCATGGCATGGGAGGCTCAGGGGATAGAGCGTTCGCCTTCCAATGCGGCGAACCGGTTTCGAATCCAGTCGATAAGAATTCCGCAACCGGCTTGAACAGACCACAGTGCTGACGTGAAATAACCTCAGTGGTAGACGAATCGTGGGTTAGAGTCCCCATGCCGTCAGGCTGACCGTGGGAAGTTCTCGTGCTCTTCCTCTCCATGTAACGCAAATACGGGTTAGCTTCATCAAAAAGTCCTCCACGAAGACAAATTTCTCTCAATACTCGATCCATGAGTTCCCCTGTCTTCTGGATTGGGTTCAAAATTACAAGGCTACGGAGTTGAACACTGGTAGTCATAAACCCATAAAATTGGGGCGGCTGTTCAACGCCGGTTATAAAATTATAAATAAAAAAGCTCATGGTGCAGCTCTAGTGCGACGTAAATAAAGTATCTACCATACATACCCTTTTTATGTTTACTTTTTTCAAAATAAAAAGTAGTTCATGAAAAACTATTACGATTTCAGTGGTTCATATTATTGTCTAAAATAAATGGGGCTGTTTTTATCCCACTGAGCCTGAAATTGTAAAAATAACAATATTTAAATATTTCTGAATGTTTTTTTTTGTCTTTTTTTTCTCACAGTGGTTGATCGCAAGACAAGGCTCCCAGTAGATCAACTAAGCCAAGCATCACAGGCAGCGGTCAGCGAACTAGTTCGTGATCACTTTGATCAGCCTGCGAAGGAACAAAGGGTGCACTGTATCGGTCTTTGTAAAACTGCTCTACCGTAAAGTACTCGACTTCAAGTGCAGTTCGTCTGGCAATCTAAGTCACCCCCTCTCCAGAGGATCAAAATTATGATGCATGGCTTCGGATCATCCTCAGGAATGTTTCCCAGCTCTAGTGCAACGTAAAAAAACCACCACTACTTCTTTTCTTTTCCATAATCTGCTTTTCATTTTTTGTTTTATTTTTTTTAAAAGAAAGAGAGGAAGTAAAAGAAGCATAGTCACAGAGAAGAAAAGTAAAAGTGTATGCTTTTACCACAAAATCAATAGACATGATTTCCTTAAAATAAATCGTAAATACTTTTACTTACTTCAATATAAATGAAATGCTTAGCTTCTTGAATGGTTTCAATGTATGCTTCATGTATGGAATTTTCTATTTGTTTGACACCACCAGACCACTTGCATAAACTTCGTAAAACCTTCAAACAAACACAACACATTTTAAAAATTCCTTACTTTTACCTTAGAGAACTTTTCACATTATAAATTGAATATTGTAAGCAGGGTGACTGAGAATTATTTGACTAGTCTTGATATGAGCATGCATGAAATAAGAAGACTGCATCTGAGACAAATAAATTCAATGCAGAGTCGTGCAAATTTACTTAATAAAGTGTTAAATTGAATCATGCTTTCAGTCTGTAAGTTGAAGCAAGTATTTGTGTAATTAAGATTCAGACAGTTTAATTTGAAAAGCAGTACGATTCAACCGAGAAAAGTATTATGGTTTGTGGTTTACCGCATTCCATGGTATATTTTTGTATCTGATTATTAAATCATATTTAATGTGTATCCTAATCACAAAATGCTGAATTGGCTTTTTTTATTGCTAAATTTGTATTATAAATACCCAACTGGACAATGGTTATGGACAGGTGATAATAGATACGATAGAAACCACAAAAAAGGTAGGAAAATGTTAAAATTAGCATAAGTGCGAAATACAGTAAGACATGTTTTGCGTATGCAAATTCTGGGTTATCGAACTGGCTTGTCACATAAGAACTCTGAGGTAAAGATATAAAGGACGCGTATAGAGAGTTGTTGTTCAAAATCAGTTCAACCGGAAACAATCAATCGACAAACTTGCAATTTTCTTCGTTGCTACGTCTTCTCAACGTCAGTTAGATCATTTTTACGCGTGGCCGTATTATCGGTAAGGTTGGAGAAAGTAAAAAAATAACAGTTATTCTTAAAGAGTTCAATGTCAGCCACAGTATTGTTTCAAAGCTTTTGAAATAATTTCAAACAGCTGGAATGAGTAGCAGACGTCACGTGAAATATCGACGTCAGCAAAAGACAGGTACACAGTGTTATCGACAAAGAAGAACAGGTGCAATACAGCTGGTCTGGTTGCAAATCAGTTTCATGCTGCTACTCTCAAGCGAATGTAAATCTGTAGCCAGAAGCTTGCAAGCAGGAGAGCAATACGTTTGTACTCAAGCAGGAGAACTATACTCACCCGTTTGCAATGGTATGTTCAGCATCGTAGTTGGAGAGAAGAGGATTGGGCTTGTGTACTAGTCACAGATGAGAGTAGATTCAGTCTCTTGCCTGATTGTCATTCCCAAATTGATCTGTCGTGGGGTTGGCACTGCAATATTGCGTCGAGCAAACATACAGGAAAGGGACCGATATCCTACACGTAGTGTCACAGTATGGTATGGCATTATGATTTTATAATCGTTGTTGAACAGAAGACCCTATATTTGGGTTTGCGACTGCCAATGTTTAACTCCGTAGCCTTGTAATTTTGAACCCAATCCAGAAGATAAGGAAACTGCTGGATCAAATATCCAGATAAATTTTGGAGGGATGAAACTAACCTGCAGTTGCGTTACATGGAGAGGAAAACTTCCCACGGTTAGCCTAACGTCAAGGGGACTCTAACTCATGATCCGTCTAACACTGAGGACGTTTTATGTCAGCACTGTGGTCGGTGCGTGGCATTTTGATTAATAGCCGTACGCCCCTCTGTATGCTTCCAACTGGGACTATGACTGGCTAATGCCACATTAATATTATACTGCTGCCTCATGCCTCATGATCGCTTGTTTCGTGGCTCTGTCGGAGATGAATTTGTTTTTATGGACGCCAACGAAACATGTCATCGAACAGTCGCTGTCGAGGAGAGTGTACAGAGAAAGGATATTTCACGCCCCGTATGGCCGTTTAGTTCTCTAGATATGAATCCCATTGAAAATGGGTGAGATGTGTCGGGGAGATGTGTTGCTGGTTTAGAATGGCTTGCTATAAACAAGGATACCCTCATCCGTGCACTGACAGAGGAATGGGACAAATTACCTCAACAGTTGCTGAATACTGTTGTTCAAAGTATGCAACGACGTCTGGAAATTTGTCTCGCCCTACATGGGGGTCATACTCCCATTGCTTCAGGATGCTTACAAATGGTATTTGAGTTTTTTCCCTTCAATTTCACGTATTCAGCACGAAGCGACAATTTTGTTCTTTGAACACATTTCAAACCTTCTGGGTTTCAGAGGACAATAATTTTTTTTAATGTCATCTCATTCTCGTATTCTTTTATTTCCCTTGATATTTAACCAGGCTTAATTATGTAATATGCAGCCATTTGTGGTCTTTAGCAACAGTGTATTTTGTTTCTTTTAAGCATTTAATGTGCATTAAAGTCGATCAGATGATAATCGTTTATCTTGTATAAAATAACTGATGTTATCCTCTTCAACCGATAATGAAGAAAGGCATTTTCCAACAGCTTTCGACTTCAAATTAAACTATTTTTTTCTTCATGTTGCTTTTGAGAAGAAAAAAAATCTCCTTATAAAAAATGAAGATTGGTTATATAAAAAAATTTTTTTCCTGCATAATTTTACCTTTTGTTAATGTTATGATATCATCTCTAAGCTTTACAAATTATAGTGAAAAATCTGCTCTAAGATCTCTTCCCTTTTAACAATTGACTAACTTATGAGATTATCCTCCCACAAGGAATACAGAAAGGAGAAGAAGTTCAGCTCTTCAAATACGGAACTAACGTTGGGAACTTCTTTCGGTTTTGTACGCTATACCAGAAAAACAACTTACAGGGAGAGCAACATACTCAAACTAAGTCAAAAGGTACATCACCTGTGAACCGATTGTTGGACAACTACATGCATGGTTAGGTACGGTGCTTCCCACTAACTGCCATTTTATTCTTTCTTTTTATATCGAAATGTGTTAGCAGATTTAATTAACATGAATGATATAAATGTATTTTGAAAGAGAAATATTATTTAGAAGTACAATGTTTATCAATAGAGTAAAAAATACAGAGCAAACTAACTATATAAAATCTTTCTTCTTCACCCCCAACGCTTCCCTCATGCCCAGTATTGGTTAGGAGGAGAGGAGGATGCAAACCCGTTTATAGAATCTCTGAAGTTGTGCCCCTGGATGTTGTTTTTTCTTTTAAACACAGGGACCACAACAAACCTTGGAAGACTGGTTTACATTATGCCTGCGGAGGCTAGCCTTCTTCCCCTATGTATATTCTTTGTTCAAACTACAACACGTTACTACTGCATAGGTTGGTTACTTTTAAAACGCAATTCTATCATTTTCTCATTCTGATGCACCACCGTTTCACGAATTTTTAACTTATTGTGAGATTAGGTGAGATAAAACCTTCCGGTTTCCAAAATAGAACACAGTAAACTGTGCATTTTTGCCTCCTTCCATTTTTTTAAAAAAAAATTATTTTTATTTTATTGTTTTTTTCCAGATCAACAGCGGTTTTATAAGATATCAGAAGGTACGAGACGAATATTTAATTGATGACAAAAAAGAAGAATTTACTTAAAGATATTTTACTAAAAGATGTCTAAAGGAAAAACTTACTTGACATTCAGCCCAAAATATAGATCCAAGGGTATCATGTAAAACACTTGGTACATGATCTCCCAAATTATTATACGATTTTGGTAACAAATAATTGTATGCATTATCTTTATGGTAATTCGACTTCTGAAATAGAAGAGACAATTAAGTTTTATCTAAAAGTAAATAAATCGATAGAGGGTTTCTTAGCAGCTATAGCAATTAAGGAAATATTTTTGAACTTTAAAATCTTGAAAATATCTACATTTACTCTTTCCTAAGGTTGATAGGATGAAGGTCTTGTGTTCGTGAGGACGGAAGTTCGAATCCCAACTGCCGAAGAAACCCCGCGTATTAAATGGTGACTGGTGCATATTAAATATGTCGGGGTCACAAAGTCCTCCAAGTTCACATAACAAATTATACCTTTTGGGGTACTGAATTAGAGATGGATCATTCTCTGGTTCAGGTCAAAATTGCGATCTGTGGACGAAGAATGTATGTATGAATGGGTCAGCCTTGTGAAACGACCTGTGACGTGTATGTAGCTGAAATCGTATTATTGGCCATAGATGGTGCCACTGAAAAACAAGAAATTCACTCTCTGTTCTAAATTTCTTGGTTTCCCAATCAGGCTTGCTGACATGGCAAGTAGGAAATCGGAACAACAACTTTTTCCTAAAACGCAGTTTAAGTTCCTTAAACTCGAAGGGAATCTAAGTTGGACTATATATACCATCTTGACTTAAAAAGTTACTTGAGTTTTAAAGCTGTCAAGTAGTTTGAATATTTTTTTAGAAAGTTATCAAACTTCCACCTAGATATTTCCACCTAGTTGAAAATCATTACAGCGTTTTTTGAACTTCTTTCTGGCCATAAAAATTACCTAGGCTTTAGAACTAATGAATAAAAGAGTTTGTTTGAAAGAATACAAGAGTACTTTGAAGAATACTTTGAGTTGAAAAATGAGTTTGAAAGAACACAAGAAAATACAATTCGATTATTGCTTAATTTTTTTCAAATATCCGCCGTTGAACAGCCGACTCAATTTTGAGTTTACGGCTACCAATGTTTAACTCCGTAGCCTAGTAATTTCGGATAGAAGACAAGGGAACTCCAGAGGTATAGATTTTTCATGGGAGCTTGGAGAACTTTGTGACCTCAACGTGTCTCGGTCACCATTTTATACACGGGTATTCTGCGGCCGGCTAGTTTCGAACTCCTATTTTCACGAACACGAGTCTAACACCCTACCAACCAGGCTATCCAAGCCTAATTATTAGTAGATTTTATAACTGTCATTAAACAGGTGACCTAAGTTTGAGTTTACGAATACCAATGTTCAACTCCATAGCCTTGTCATTTTGAGCCCAATCCAGAAGACAAAGGAACTCCTGAATCAAGTATTGTGAGAAACTTGAACTTTTTGATGGAACTAGCCCACATTTACCTTATATGGAGAGGAAAACCACGAACACCTCCAACGGTGGCCTGACGGCAAGGGGACTCTTACTCATGATCCATTTATCACTGAGGATTTTCTTACGTCACCACCGTCGTCAGTTCGAGCCCAGTGCGGAATTCGTATAGATCAGTCATTGCTGGGATTCGAACCCGAGAAACCACATTGAGAGGCGAGCACCCAATCTCGTGAGCTACCACGGCTCTTAAAAGTTATTAAATGTTTTTGAAAAAGCGCCTTTTTGGCTAGATTTTTCCACGTAGATAAAAAATAATTAAAATTAATTAATAATTTTCATTTCTCGCAAATTCTTATGAGCCCAGATAAATACAGCGTTAGAGTAATTTTCAAATATTAAAAAATCAGATCACAAACATTTTTCATTTTCACGAAATGGTGGCTTTATTATGACATTTTGCTCAATTTTCATATTTAGCGTGATAAGGCGGTGTCTAAAGATAGGCAAAACTTGACTTAACTGTCAACTGTTCACAGCAGTCAGAATGAATATATTATTTCTCTAGAAGTTATTTCGAATGGCTTTCGATAAACAGCTTCAAGATATCCTCTGGTTGAAAAAATAAATTTTGTGACCCTACTGAAGTTTCTTTATGTTTCCGTGCTGATTCGCTCAAAAGAACTAAAATGTTGATAGCTTTATGATGATAGATAATCCAAGAACGATAGGGAAAATTGGTGTTTCGACAGAAAAGAGCATCTTTTGCGTCGCAAATGTTCAGGCGGTTAACACATAGAAATAATATGAAACGTTTCCCTTTTGAAACGTTTTCTACTACGAATTTCAACCCCTAGAGCAGGGGTGGCGAACCTTTATTCACCAACGTGCCATTTTTTCTAAAAAATTGCTTAATGAGGTCATAGACGTGCCGTCAAATAATTTTGACTTCGTGATTATTGGGAAAATAATAATGCTAAATACTATCAACTCAAAACTCTTTAGTTGCATTGAAAAAAAAAACATTTTGCAATGTCTCAGTTATACACGTAATTCAACTTNAAACCACGAACACCTCCAACGGTGGCCTGATGGCAAGGGGACTCTTACCCATGATCCATTTATCACTGAGGATTTTTTTACGTCACCACCGTCGTCGGTTCGAGCCCAGTGCGGAATTCGTATTGATCAGTCATTGCTGGGATTCGAACCCGAGAAACCACATTGAGAGACGAGCACCCAATCCCGTGAGCTACCACGGCTCTTAAAAGTTATTAAAGGTTTTTGAAAAAGCGCCTTTTTGGCTAGATTTTTCCACGTAGATAAAAAATAATTAAAATCAATGAATAATTTTCATTTCTCGCAAATTCTTATGAGCCCAGATAAATACAGCGTTAGAGTAATTTTCAACTATTCAAAAATCAGATCACAAACATTTCTCATTTTCACGAAATGGTGGCTTTATTATGACATTTTGCTCAATTTTCATGTTTAGCGTGTTAAGGCGGTGTCTAAAGATAGGCAGAACCTGACTTAACTGTCAACTGTTAACAGCAGTCATAATGAATATATTATTTCGAATGGCTTTCGATAAACAGCTTCAACATATGCTCTGGTTGAAAAAAGACATTTTGTGACCCTACTGTTTCAGTGCTGATTGTCTCAAAAGAACTAAAATGTTGATAGCTGTAAGATGTTCTATCCTAGAATGATAGGGGAAATTGGTGCTTCAACAGAAAAGAACATCTTTTGCGTCGCAAATGTTCAGGCGGTTAACACATAGAAATAATATAAAACGTTTCCCTTTTTAAACGTTTTTTACTACGAATTTCAACCCCTAGCGCAATCTGTGCTTATCTTACACAGTCAACCATTCATTTGGGACAATAACGGTGAGAAGGGGGAAATTGGTGTCTTGACAGTAAATAGAAATAGCATGCTGCCTTTGGAACGTTTTTAATAATACTAATAATTGATAAATAAATAAATCCGTTTTTAATAAATAACGATAATTTTTTTAATTTCACATTCTCTTAATTTACTCATAAATTAGTCATTCTAAACATAATTTATGTTGTAACTTGAAATATTGTTAATCTTTTCCAATTCTACAGGGAAACCTCCTGGAAAGATCAGCTCTTTGTAGCGACCTCCTCTATTTACGACCATTTTTTGAGAGGCACTAAATTTTTTCCGCAGGCTTTGTGTTGAAGAAACCCTTTAAGAGAGACTATCAAAACGTCTACCAGTGAGCAGGGAAACCTCTGCACCCAATTCAGAACAGGTCAAATACGGAAACACGAAAAAATATCAAAACTAAAAATATTAACAAAACAAATAAGTAAATTAAAATGTATTCAAAATATTTGTGCGAGGTTCTGATTTAGAGAGCTCTTTTTGGAGATCTCGGAAAGAAAACAACCTCAAGTGGCAGTCAGAGTGCATTGAAGACGATGCTATCAATGATTCATTTTTAGAGTGGAAAGTTAAGTGAGTAAAAAAATATTATTTTAGAAAAAACGAAGAATCTCAACCTAATGCAAACCTCTTCTCATTTTTCAAAACTAACTAATTCTTACTAAATTTTAAATTTTTTATGATATAAAAATTAAATACAAGCTTAAACAGAAACATAATCGTTAAAATAGTTCTATCATTCATTATTGGTACATTTGTTAACTTAATTTGTTATTGGTAAATTTGTTTGTTAAAAAACTCATAATTATAAAAGTAGGGATCCTTTTTATTGACGCTAAATTTTATTCGTTGATCTGCATAAAGCCAACACAAATGGCATTTCCGCAACAAGAAAATGTGACACTGACTAAAATTAAAATCTTTTGCGAAAAATTATGTACCTTCCGTCAAGTCAATAGAGGTAACCCCTAAGAACGACCTACCTCCGTTAGCGAGCATTTTAGAGTGGAACGGAAAGTGGTCTCACCCGAGAGGTTTTCCTGTATATCCCTTTAGAATAATATAAGTAATAATATTTAACTAGTGGGTTGCGCCCCCTGCTCGCTAACGCTCAACAACCCCCGAAAATTGCTACGCAATCTTATATGGTTTGCTTCGCAAACCAAGCTCGCTTTGCTCGCTACTAACTTAGGTACATTGCAAATGCACAAAGTTCTAAGAATTCAGAACAATCATTCAAATCCATATCAAAACTCTTTTTTTTTTAAAAAAAAAAATTACATCTTTTTAGCAAATACTAAGTCATTAAAATAAATTTGAATTCAAATAAATGACATGTAATTCGTTAAACCTATTAGAAATGTGCTATTGTATAATTCGTGATATAAATCAAAAATCGTCAAATAAATTCGTAATA